GTTCGGGGGCAGCTCCGGCGCGGCCCTGCAGGCCCTGCAAGGGGAGCTGTCCGAGGTCATCCTCACCTTCAGCTCCCTCAACGACTCGCTGCACGAGCTCCAGGCCGCCGTGGAGGGCCAGGGCGCCGACCTGGCCGACCTGGGGGCCACCAAGGACCGCATCATCTCTGAGATCAACAGGCTGCAGCAGGAGGCCACGGAGCATGCCACGGAGAGCGAGGAGCGCTTCCGAGGCCTGGAGGAGGGACAGGCCCAGGCCAGCCAGTGCCCGGGCCTGGAGGGGCGGCTGGGCCGTCTCGAGGGAGTCTGCGAGCGGCTGGACACGGTGGCTGGGGGGCTCCAGGGCCTGCGCGAGGGTCTCTCCAGGCACGTGGCCGGGCTCTGGGCCGGGCTGCAGGAGGCCAACGTCACCAGCCACACGCAGGCCGCCCTGCTGGAGAAGCTGCTGGGGGGGCAGGCGGGCCTGGGCCGGCGGCTCATGGCCCTCAACGGCTCACTTCTGCTCCTGGAGGACCGCGTGCAGCAGCTCAGCCTGCAGGACCACATCGGTGAGCCACGGGGGCGGGCAGCCCAAGCCTCCTCTTCCCCCACCCCACAGTGCCTGCTCCGCTGGCTCTTCTCCCCGCCCTGCCCAGCATGCACGGCGCCCTGACGGCTGCCCCAGGGGGTATAGTGTGTCCGAAGAGCAGGCGTGAGGCCCCACGGCTCATGCAGTCCTGCGGGTGAGGTGGGCACCGCTCTGCCAGTCTGGCATCCCCCAGCAGTGAAGGCCCACCTCCCCTCAACCTGTCAACCCCACCTGTGTCGCCCCCTCCCTGTACTAGCAGCCACCACCTTTGCTGTCCCTTGGAAACTTCCTTTCTCCTTCAACTTCGTGTTGTCACCGCAGGGCCTGCAGGAGAGGCTGGGCCCCCGGGGCCTCCAGGGGGGCAGGGCCCCCCAGGCCCTGCTGGACCTCCAGGACCTCCAGGCAAGGACGGACATAAGGGGCCCACTGGACCGCCAGGTACGTGGGCTGAACCTTGCCACAGCCAGGGTTCCCCCCCACCCCACAGCCCAGGCCTGACATTCCATTCTGAACCTGACCAGTGGGGGAGGGGGCGTGGCGCTGGGGGCCCACCAAGCTGATAATGGAGAGAGGAAAGCGACGCAGAGCTGGATGGCCACCGTTCGGCCCCCCTGCTATGCTGGGGACTAGGCCGCAGCTGGAAGGGCTGTCCAGGATGTCCGACAGTTGAGCAGAATGGACCCTACCTGGCCCTCTTTTTCCCGATGTCCCGTCCAGCTTTGAAGTCCGCATAGCACCGAGCACAGCAGGAGACACTCAGCACATGTTTGCTGAGTGACTTTGAGAGTTCTGACTATTCCCTGTCCTCTTCCCACAGGTCCCCAAGGTGAAAAGGGTAAGTCCCTCCTGCTTGACTCTGGAGGGGAACGAACTGGACCAGGCTTGGGGGCAGAGGTCCCGCAGGGGAGGGGCTGGGCGGCGCCGCCCACCCCTGCTCAACACCCGCCCTCCCCCAGGAGTGGAGGGGGCCCCAGCTGCCCCTGCGCCCCGAGTGGCCTTTTCTGCTGCCCTGAGTCTGCCCCGGTCTGAACCCGGCACAGTCCCCTTCGACAGAGTCCTGCTCAATGACGGCGGTTACTATGACCCCAAGACAGGTGCGGACAACCTGGCCTCGCCAGATGGGGTGGTCGTTTCGTCCTCTGGCGGGGCGGCCCCTCCCCTCGCCTTCCTGTCTTCATTCTCGCCCTGTGGGCTAAGGGCGGGTGGGGGCGCTCTTGCTCCGGCCCTGTGCTAGGGCGCGGGCACCGGGTTCCCGGATCCCGCCGCCTGCTTGCCAGCGGAATAGGGGCTCGCGGCCCAGCGGTGCCTCCCGGGTCCAGGGGCCCCGGGCTCCCCTGACTCCCGCCCCGCCCGCAGGCGTGTTCACCGCGCCCCTGGCCGGGCGCTACCTGCTGAGCGCGGTGCTGACCGGGCACCGGCACGAGAAGGTGGAGGCCGTGCTGTCCCGCTCCAACTTGGGCGTGGCCCGCGCAGACTCGGGCGGCTATGAACCCGAGGGCCTGGAGAACAAGCCGGTGGCCGAGAGCCAGCCTAGCCCGGGCGCCCTGGGCGTCTTCAGCCTCCTGCTGCCGCTGCAGGCCGGGGACACGGTGTGCGTCGACCTGGTCACCGGGCAGCTGGCGCACTCGGAGGAGCCCCTTACGGTCTTCAGCGGGGCCTTGCTGTACGCGGACCCGGAGCCCGGACACGCGTAGACGGGACGGCCCTGCCCGAGGCGTCCACGACGGCCCGAGAGCCAGGGTCGCTTTCCGGGACAGGGCGCCCAGCCCGGAGCACCCAGCGCGGAGCACCCAGCCCGGGGAGCACCTAGCCGAGGGGAGCACCTAGCCCGGAAGAGCATCCAGCACGGAGAGCACCTAGCTCGCGGGAGCAACCCGCCCGGGGGAGCACCCAGCCCGGGGGAGCACCCAGCCCAGGGGAGCACCAGCCAAAGGAGCACCCAGCCAAGGGGAGCATCCAGGGCCGAGCCGTTCCCGGACTCGCCACGGCCCAGGCACCCGCGCGGCCTCTCACGCCCAGCGCGCGCCAGCTCGGCACTCCGGGACTCGTCCAGACCTCAGCCTCCCGAACCCTGGGGACCCGCATCCTCCTCCCTCCCGGCCCCGCGCACTAAACTATTCGGGAATAAAGACACCTGGTTTTCTAAAAAACAGCACAAGCCGTGTGCCAGCACATGGCCGGTGACAGCAGAACCCGGGACTGGCGGGAGGGCCCCGGCTCGGCGCCGCTCTCGCCCCTCC